TTCCCTTTTGGATCTCGTTAGGTAGCACACTGGACCGTCCCGCCATTCTCTTGCACGTAAAGAAATCTTAACGTACCGCCGACCGAAATGAAGTTGAGCTTTGCCGAAGTCCCAAAACACGGCGCAGGGCTGCGGGTGGCAAGCAGCTCCCCGGAGCGCACCTCCGCTCGCATCCGCTGGCTTCTCTCTTCCCGTCCGAAACTCCTCTCTGCGAGACCGTACATTCCAGCCGCGTTTTGAAGCGCCCGAGAATATCGCAGCAGTAACAGCAACCTCAAAAGCCCGCCCCTGGGTTTTTTGGCTTGCTGTCACCCCCCGGTATTCCAGATCTACTCCGCGTTTGCCCAGTGACATCACGTACCCGATAATCGGCAACAGGGCCCAAATGTAGAGTTTTTGGGTGAGGATCTGAAGGCAGAGCCAGCTCTTGCGTAGTTTAGATCCGGGAGAGAGCAGAGGCAAGTTGGCGACCGGCACGCGGAATGTTTCAGCTACGACGCGTCTTGGATGGGCACAGGGATTGCACCGCCAGCCGCCGGCACGTCAGTCGGGGGGCTCATCGCCGCCAACTCTAAATATTCAGGGTAGCAGCGCAGCCGTATACAGCCCAGCCCAGCCCTGCCATCTCCCCGGAGCTGGGGAACAGCGCTCGGGGAGGCTGCGGGGCTCGGCGGTCATCGTCCCCCTCTCGCAGAGCCTCGGGTCGGACGCCTCCGGTCTGGGAAGTTTTCTGTCCTACCTAAAACCAAACGCTCCCCGTCCCCGTCCCGTGCGACGTCCCACCTCCTGCGTCGCGGCTGCACATCGCTGTTCTAGGCGAGGGCTCCTGGAATTTTTTTTCACGCTTCTTGTCTCTGGGACAAATTTTTTCTACCTCGGAGAATGAACAAAGATTATCTCCATCCCTTTAGCACAAAAAAACAAAGATGATGCCTCATTTGTTTTCCAGAAGCGATGCCCAGCCCCGTTCAAATCCATTGCGCGACAGTTTAGCAATAACCCGACGGCGAGGGGGAGCGGGGCAGCCTCTGGCCGTCGGTGCCCGAGGGGATCCCGCGGATCTTCACCGGCGCGTCCGAGGAACTTCTCCGGCCGGCGGGGATCTTTTCAGGCACTCAGACGGGCTCGCGAAGGATTTTGGTCGCTGCCTTAGGGAGACGAACCCGAACGCGCCAAGAAAGGGCCAGCGCCCTTCCCACCGCCCCGACGGCGGGGGGTCCCGACCCGGGAGCACACAGAAATGTACAGAAAACACGCGAGCTATAGATAGTATTTATTCATTTTTCTATGTACTGGAGATAACATTCTTACGACTTTCTGCTTTTATAGATGTCCTGGAAACTTTGATACGTAGAGGTCTGCTAACGGAGGCATTTCTCTTCCCCTCGAGCCGGTCAAAGGTCTTTCCCACCTCTTGCTTGGTCCCCGTAGGTGCCCGGCAAGGCCCCGGCGCCCGGCGAGGAGCCGCTTCGCTCTCCGAGGGCTTTCCGAGCGGTGGGAGACAAAACCGGGCGTCCCCACGCACCCGCGGGCCGTACAAATCCCTTCAAGAAACGCAGTTTCTAAACCGCCAAAAGCCACCGAGACGCTCCACAAAGTGCAAGTGAATGAACAATATAAAACTCAATTTGTTTTTTTTGTTTCTTTTTTTTTTTTAACATCTTTAAGCTATTTTCGGATCCTTTGAAGTCTTTGAGAAGCAAGAGGATGGGCGACGGGGCCAGCAGATTGCTAAAATCTCCAAATCTCAGCTCTTTTTGCGCGTGCTAGGTTTTAAAAGAGAGAAAATCAAAACCACCAGGGATTTTTTTTTTTTTAAGCAGCTGGGATTTTCCGACGTCCGGCAGATTTGCACTGACCCTCACCTGGGACGCCCTCAGCATCGGTACGCCCCAGCCCCGGCGGCCAGCGTTTGGCACACGAGCTCAAAACCCCTACGCTTTCAAAAAGGGGGGGGAAAAGGCAAAACAGATGAAAAGCACAGAGTAAAAGAAAGTGGAATATCAGCACGCTGAGGCTGGTGGCTCCGGTAGGCGTTTGCCAAGAGCCCTCCCTCGCCCTCTTCCAGAAGCCGCCTCGGGAATCCCAACGGAGCCGCAGGTCTTTGAGCAGGGAAGGGTGACGCCAGGCGTCGGGAAGGCACAGCTCG